GGACCTCCACTATCGCAAGGTTCGACTTCCTACTAATGCACTGAACATGTCGTCTCGCCGGCAAAGGAATTCCAACTTGGATAGTAACAACCTGAGGGACAACGTATAAACCCCTGTCGTTGACTCACATTTCTAATTTTACCATATGTTTAAGAGCGGATAATTAGGTCGGCTTTTAGCGATGGCTCGTAAAATGTGGCGGCAAAAAAGAGAAAGAGAGAGAGATCCTCTGCCTTCGTTTGCCGGACCACGTCGCACGCAAAACTCCTCGGTGAACTTTCCTCTCGGAGTAACCCACATCTTTCTCTTCCTCTCAGCTGGCAGAAGCGCGGAAATAAACCTGCGGCGGAGTCGAGCCGAGTCGATTACACGAGCCGAGTATAACAGCGTCGCCGGGAGACCCTCGGACTAGTTTTCCCCGGGCGACATTGTTATCACTCGCGGGAAAATTAACTCGGTTCTCCTGTTCGCGCAACCGGTATAGCATGGCGATGATACTCGAAGCTATGATTTCGCGGTGATCTAACGACGCGCAATTGAAATATACACGCAGTATACAATAGTACTTTAACGATCGATTTTTCGTCTAAAAAAATGGAATTTCATAAGGAAGGCTTTATCTATATAATATAATAGCACATCTGTGCTTGAACTCAAATTAGCCCTTTTATATATTGGGAGTACAAATAAGTCTCCGCCGTTTGACAAAAGATGGCCCCACCAGTAAGTTATGGTTGAAATTGTCAGATATAAAACGTCATATCGTAAGGTTGGACATCTGGCAACACCATAACCTTGAAATATTAGCGATTTTGTATCAGCATCACATAATTTTTTTCGTGCAAAAATGTCGAGTTTTGAGCCGAATAAGCGTCATTTGCGGGAACTTTTGATTTACTTCTTTAATTTGAAGAAATCTGCAGCTGAGGCGCATCGATTGTTTGTAGAAGCATATGGTGAGGCTGCTTTAAGTGAGAGAAGTTGTCGTGAGTGGTTTCAAAAGTTTAAGAACGAGTTTGACGTCGAAGACAAAGAACGTAGCGGAAGGCCGAAAGTGTACGAAGACGCGGAATTGGAAGCATTATTGGAGGAAGATTCGTGCCAAACGCAAGAAGAACTTGCACTTACATTAGGAGTAACTCAACAAGCAATTTCACATCGTTTAAAATCATTGGGAATAATTCAAAAGCAAGGAAATTGGGTTCTATATGAACTGAAGCCGAGAAACGTTGAACCGATTTTGCACATGTGAAATGTTGCTTGCCAGGCATAAACGAAAGGGTTTTTTGCATCATATAGTCACTGGTGATGAAAAATGGATCCACTACGATAACCCAAAGAAGAGGAAATCATGGAGGTCACGTGGCCATGCTTCAACATCGACAGCCAAGCCGAATATTCATGGAAAAAAACTCATGTTGTGTATTTGGTGGGATCAGCTTGGTGTCGTATGGTGGTGGTGTATTATGAGTTGCTCAAACCGAACGAAATCATTACTAGGGCTCTCTACCGAACACAATTGATGAGATTGAGCCGAGTACTCAAGGAAAAACGCGCCCACTACTATTCCAGACATGACAAAATTATTCTCCTGCATGATGATGCTCGTCCACATGTTGCGGCGCCGGTCAAAATCTACTTGGAAACACTCAATTGGGAAGTTTTACCCCACCCGCCGTATTCACCAGACATTGCTCTCTCTGACTATCACTTGTTTCGATCGATGACGCTCGGCCTATCTGAGCAGCACTTCACATCATATGAAGATACCAAAAATTGGGTCGATTCGTGGATAGCCTCAAAAGATGAAGCGTTCTTCCGACGCGGTATCCGTATGTTGCCTGAAAGATGGGAAAAAGTAGTAGCTACGATGGACAATACTTTGAATAAAACATAAGGTTCTTTCACAATAAATGCCCAATTTTTGATGAAAAAACGGCGGAGACTTATTTGTACTCCCAATATATTTTTTAAATTTAATTTTTTTGAGTTCTTTTTCGGTTTTTTAATAAAAAAAATAGAATTTCCCACATTAAAATGTCTTAAAACGCGCGCCCCAAAGCTTACAGAGATTTCTAACGTTTCAAAATTAAATATTCTATACTCACACGTTTTTTCTCTTCCTTTTCTTTCACACCTTTTATCTACTTTTCTTCACTTTCTTTTTGCTCGTATCTTTCGTTCATTCTGCAATCCAAGAATTTTCTCTCGCAAGTGAAAAGCGTGATTAAATAATGAAATAATGAAATGACGATTTTGCACCTTCGTGAGGTAAATTCAGGACACTCTGTATGCATACGTAACTACGACGAACCCGATCCTCAGCGAGACCAGAAACAGGAACGTTCGTATCACCGTGCTCAAACGGGATCTAGATTATTACGTAATAGCGCAAACGATTATCGCTCCCTGCCTGGCTTGAAAGCTGCTCGCACTCGTCGCCGCTTGAAACACGAGCGCCGCTCATTTTTCCGTTGACATCCCGGATCGTTTTCACGCCGGGGCCGCTACCGTAATCGCCGCTCGTCGATTATCCAATTTGCCGGAGAGAAAAGACCCGCGGTCCGCAGTTACCGGGCGAACGGATATTTACGGGTCCGCCGTGCGGAATGCGAACGCTCATTCGCGCCGTTCGCACGTGAAAGTGCGCGCGCCCGCTGAGAAAAGAGGAGAAGGCACGCGACCCGCAGGCATTCGGAAACACGCCGGGAGATAAAAGATACATATTTACCATTCCTCGGGCATTGAATTCGATGCGTTTTCGATAAGCAGCGCGCGAAAGTGCTATAACTCACACAGTTCGCAGCGCGGCTGGTTTATGGGAAACCAGAGTTTCTCGTGTTTCTCCCTTTACGGGCGTAAAATAGCGCGAGCGTAAAGAACCTTTATCACGATGTCCGCGCGGAGTGTGATCGATTTTTACCGGGTGATATTTTTAATACGAAAACCGTGCCGGTGCGCGGAACGCGATCCATTTTCACCGGGACGCGTGCAACACGCGGTAATTTGATCCGGTTACTCTCTGTCTCCTTTATTGCGATATTCACATTATCTCGCAATTTGTTGCCGCGTGCGCAGGTGCCTTTATCGCAATAATTGGCGCGATCGCAACAATTATTTTCGCAGCACGAAGCAAAGATCCGGATGAGACGCTCTACCGTTCTCGGTCGGAAGGCGCCGCGGGAAACGACCGTGTCGTTACGCGACCGAGATGCGTCTTCCTCTTCCTACGTCCGCATATCGCGCGTAACTCCGTAATAATAACGAGAACGGTGCATCGACATCGGCGACGACGTGCAAGGGGAGCATTTCTCGCGATCCCGCCATGAGGGAAATTCGTTGCCGGACGCGGCGAGCACAAGTCGACTTGGACGATAAATTAGACCGCGACGCCGGCACCGCGCGGAATAGAAAGTTGCCTCGACTTGCGCGCGGTATGAGAAGCGTCGAGGAAAGAGAGATGGAAAACGTGCCGAGACTTCGTACGAGGGGGAGAATGGAGTGAAGTAATGTTTATTTCTTCTCGCGGGACAATAACTCACAGATATATTTTGTTTGGACGCGCGTTTGCAAATCTTCTTGAGAAACCCGAAGCGACGCGAACTCCGCCGCAAATAAGGAAAGGGATGTTAACTGAAAAAATGGGACACGCAATGTACTCGTGTGAAATTTATTTGTCGTTCACAGAGAGAGAGAGAGAGAGAGAGAGAGAGAGAGAGAGAGAGATTTATCTCTTTTAACGGGAAAAACTCCTTCAACAAAAAGTCTATATTTCTCGAGTTCAAGGATATCGATCGCCAGAACTCCACGGAATAGTTGTAATATATATATATATATGAGGTCTTCTCTTGAAGGTCTTTGTATTCGTACATATCGTATTGTAAGCTTCTGACAAATGTGCATGTGAGAGAGTAGATTTCATTTTATAGTGTTAGATAAATAATCCACTCTCTTGACATACAAGGCAATAAAAACTGTGCACAAATATGCGACGTAATTCGCGCTCGAGCAAGTGCTTAATTCTTGGTAAGAATTCCTATGAAACGTAAATCAGACTATGAGAACATGAAATGTTGATTAAATTGAAATAATTTAATTGAAAAGTATGTGATGTAATGGAGAAATAATACGCACGAAAAAAATGAATAATTATAATAAGATAATAATAAGATTAAATTAATAATAATAAGAGAGAGAAGATAAGAGAATCGGAGAGAAATGAGGATAGAGAAAGGAGATACCTAGCGTGAAAACATCGCATTCCCTCCTCCGCGACCTCCTCAGTGACATTTGCACGCTCTTCCTTCTGCGCGTTAATAGCTCGACTACCACCGTTGTTGATTAACAATAATCCACCGCTCTTCCTCGTGCGCGAATATTCGACGTGGCACGTTAATTGCACGGGCTTTCATCGAGATTAGGATATCACCACACTCTCACTGGAAACAGTCTTGTTTCGTTCCGCGCGGGAGGAGAAATTATACGCGAGTCGCCCTCATGAAATCGCGCTCTGTGTCGCGCGTATACCTGACGCTCGCCGCGAAGCTATTGACACCCTTAAAGACGTTAAAATTTCGATATCCGCGAGGCGGTATAATGCGAGAGATTTATTAATAATACCTTTGTGTTTACATTATTTCAGTGAGAAAGTTCAAGTCGATTTTTATATCACATTTGGTTGAATATATTGTATCCAATGAAAATAAATTACTCATCAATCAAGTAATAAAGGAGATTAATTTATCTTCAAGCGTATAATATATAGATATATTATTAGCCATAATTTACTTTTAATGATATATGTGTATCATATATAAAGATTGTCAACATTGCTATTTGTATCACTCAAGTGTAATTTATTGAATGTCGAAGCAATCTTTCCGGCTGATCCGATATTCGATATCGTACACCGCGATAATGTGCAGGACATAATCGTTCATTAATCACTCATGCAATCATCGATTAGTTAACTCTATACGGCGCTTGTTCTTCCTCCGCAGAGATGCGAAGCGAGGTGGGCGAATGGCTGGCCACGTGCGTAGGTTCGCCGATATGCATCCTGCTGCTGTCATGGTCTCTGCTGATCTACCAGAATCAATCATCGTCCGCGAAAAGGAAGATCGACGTGCTGACGGTCGCGATACTCTCTCAAAGCCTCGCGCATCAATTGGGCCTGCTGTTGTATGCGATTCTCACCTTGATCCGTCCAGCAAATCACTTTGGAGGTAAATCGCTATTTAACTATACCAATTTCTCGGCGCAACAGCTCCCCGCGACAACACAGCGCAACGATGCATCTCAATTATGGATGATACAAAAGCGTTACTTGTTAATTTATTTATTTATACGAGAACTAAAGCCATTGTCGGCACAAATATCGTAGACAGAAGCAAATCGTATCACATTATACTCGCAAAAATTCGCCACCAAAATTCAACGGCACACCGTGTATAACGCCACGTACTTTCCACGGTCATGGGATCGTTCGCCTCTGTGGAATTCGTCCCAGCCGCTTTCCAAACGCCCATGTCATGCAAATCAATACGTCGGGAACAGATCAGAGGCGGCCAATTTGCAAAAATGTCGCGACGATGCCGTATTAATTCCGCACGCGAGTCGCGGTCATTGAACAAATCGCGTGCTTCTTGTCATAGAGCTATGCTCGACGCTGGTGTGGGTGCTGAACTCGTCGAGCGTCCTCCAGGAGTTAACCCTGACGTCGATCGCGGTGTTCGCCGCGATCAGCAGCCGTGACGAAGCCGTGAACCTCACGAAGAACCACCTCAAGTATCACCTGGTGAGCCTGAGCGTTATCAGCGCCTGCATCGGCGTCACAGGCGTCCTCAATTTCGAGCCGGAGGTCTGCGTCTTCCTCGCCCATGAAATCTCCCACAAGTACGGGATCTTCGTCAATTCCCTGAGGAGTTTGCTGGTTCTCACGTCTCTCTTCGGAGTGCTGGTCGCGCTCTTCAAGAACGTCTGCCGCGCCCCGGCCTCGGAGCTGCTCAAGTCGGTCTCCGATCTGTCCGAGGCGAGCTCGAAGAACTCCTCGGGGGCGTTCGAGTGTCACCCCCAGCATTGGGACCCATCCAGCGGCTCGTGCACCAGCGGCTCCACCAACAGCAGGGCGTGTCTGAGGAAGAAGAGGGTGCAGGTGGACGAGGCCAGCGGCAGATCCACCGTCTACAGCATCCTCTTCGTTTGCTACGTCTTCGAGCATCTGCCCATCCTGGTAATTACTTGATCAGTCGTCTTCTTATTTATTACTCTTGTTATTATTATTGCTGTTGATAGTTCATCCGCTGGCCGATCGATCTCCAGCAACTCGACCATGACTCGATGTCGCGCGTAAGACCGGTTTCCGCACTGTCGGATCGGCGAATGAATTAAAATACGAGCTGTATGATTGCGCATCATTAAGCGCGCCGCGCGAACGCCGACGTTGCCACGCACTAATTGGATATATCTCGAGAAAAGAACGAAACGGCAGATTATTACCGAGTTTCTCGTTCCTCCTGGTGTAGCTCATTTCCTTATTGAAAATTGAGTGTCAGCACGACAGAGCCGGGAAAACTCTAAGCGGAAAATTATCCCGATCGTATTCGCATAATCTCGTTATCATGACCCGTCAAATCGAAGGTCCAACAGCGTTTCTAATTTATGTAAAATCATAAAACGCCGTGTAAAATTATAAAAAATCCGTTTCTAATTTATGTAAAATCATAAAACACCAATCTGAGTTGCGAAGTGGCCCGTTTCCTTCGCATGGTTGCTTTAATTATTGTTATTATTACTTTCGTATCGGGGACCTGGGCGAAACGACGCGAGGACGACGACGACTATGGTGACGGTAATTGTCGGTCCGAGCAATGGAATTTATCGAGGCGGGGGAACGCGCAAAAAGCATGAGATTTATTAAATGCCTCGTGCCGCTAGATCGCAACAAAATCGAGTTCTTTTCTTTTTTTTTTTTGGCCGACACTGAAACCTTCCTTCGACGCGAGCGTCTCGCTCGTATAAGAGGGAGATATTTCGCAATATCCTCGAAATTATGCGCGCCAAGCCAACCGTGACGATGTTACATAGCTAAAAGTGACCGACCCAATTTATGACACGCCCTCAGTTATGCTTCCCGGCACGCCAAATCACCGAGGATATCCCGTACCTTATCCGATATACTTTTTTTTAACAAATTCGCTTTCAACATGTACCAAACCTCGAGCGAGGTCGAGTCTCTCATTAGACTCAGTATCAAGGACTTTAGAAGAATTTCTCTTTTTTTTTTAATTTTCAGAAATAGAAGAACCTTTTTCTCTCTCTTCTTTAAACGTTGCACAAGCGCGTACATTTTTTATATGCCGTTAAATGAATCGTTTCTGCTGCGAGTTAGAGATAGGGGAGACCCGGACTTATTGGTACTAATTGAGGCTAGTTGGTACATGGAGTAAGTTATGACATGTGATATAGCTTTAAAATGACGAACTATATAAAAAAATGTAGTCTTGCGGCAGAAACGTTACGATAATGTTTTAATTATCTGTTTCAGACTAAATAGCGTCTGAATTTTCCAAAATAAGTAATATTCTGCAGTTTTGTATAATCAACAGTAAAATAAATCAGTCGTATATTAAATAATATATTTATAAATCTGGCATCGTTGTGTATATAATTCCAGCTGTTTTTCTTTATGCATGTGATAAATTATGAAAGAAATAGTGCACTAACTAGTCTCTTCTGTCTTACATTTCGCGCTGCGATGGCCGGACGAGTTGCCCGGCAGTTACATCAGTACAATTACATCACCGTCGAAAGGATTTTCGTACGAGCGGGCGTAAAAATGATCGGCGTACGTTGCTTCTTTCAAGGCGCGCCATCCGGAAGCGCGGCGGACCCTACGCTCGTAAATTCCGCACTACGCGAGAAAGTGGTTGCGGAACAAAGAAGATCGGGGCGAGGAGGAGAAGACGGAGGACGGTCGGGAAAAGGGTCGGTTGCCGATGGGAGGCGAAATTCGAAAGCGCGTTCTTAATTCGGGAACGGCAGCCTTAATCGGCCGCGGCAAAATTAAGATTCGCGACGGCGCCCGACGTTCCGCAAAAGTCGTCCCGCGGAGAAACTTCCCTGACCCTCCTCATTAATATTAATGATCGTGGCTATTACACGCATGATGCATACCGTGTTTACATACACGATATAGGAGCGACGCGCGCGCCAATTAAGTGAATTTGTCGTCAGGTGGACGATCTCGCGCGGCCGAGATGAATTCGCAGGGGATCTTAAGATCGCGCGTGTCGTACGGCGGCGACGATCTCGAGACTAAACTCGCGTGACACCGGCGTGTTAGTTGCACGAGCCGGAATGTCCGGAGTGAACGGCCGCTCTTATTTTTTGTGAATCATCATTACCACCCCAATCGCTCGGCCAATTACGAAACGAAACGCGCGAGCGCGAATCCGTGCGTCCGCACATATTAGCTCGTTGTGAAATAATTATCGGGACACGGCCCGTCGAAATAAACACCGTTCTCCGTTCTCGCAAGCGGACAGCGTGACGGCCGTTACACCCGTGCTTTTTTTCTTCCTCTCGACGATTAAACCAACCAATATCGATGCGCATGTTCCGATTCCAGTCTCACGCGATGAATGTCTGGACGGTCTCGTCGAAGTTCGACACGAAATGATTACTACATCTGGAAAATATTGTACACTGAGGGAAAAATTCACTAAATTTTAAAAAACGTTAGTTTGGATAGTACTGTGAAGATATTTGTTTGAATTAAGTAATTATTTTCTAAAATTAAAAAAACAAATTTATATTTAAAACTTCTTTATTTAATTTTATAAAATAATTACTTAATTTGAACAAATCTTCACAGTACTATCCACACAAACGTTTCCTGAAATTTAATAAATTTTTTTCTCAGTGTAGTAAAAATTACGTTAGACTCATATCACTTCATAATGTTCTTTGTAAAGCTGGACTATACTAACATTGTAATATAATTTACTATAGAGATATGTATGTTTGACGATCTCTATCTGATATACGATATAAAAAACTTTCAAGTAGTGACAATAATTTTATAATAAGAGGCAAACGTATTTTTAAATAAATATATAGTAATATCGGTTACAGTTTTGTATCGTCCAAAATTACAGAAAATTTGTTGTAAGTTTTATTTCAACATTTTCTTCGTGCAGCACAACCATAAATTTTCCGTTATGTTTCACTTACCTGAATGAAATTTACTTCAAGAGTTTCTTTTACCGAGTATCTAACTTTGTTTCTTCGCGATTTTCATCCTCTTGATATCGATTTAATTAAGATCTCTTTGAATTTTTCTCTCTCTCTCTCTCTCTCTATCTCTTTTTTATCTCTCGAACATACGAGATCGATGGTGCTTCTTCCGACACTTTTTGAAAGTCGTTTCTCGGTTTAAACGTGAATGATCTTCGTTCCTTTTCGATCTCGCCGATGATCGTGAATTCGCAATCGCGCGAGATATCTCACGCCGATGATTTCCCGCACATTGAGTAATTGTTATCCGGCCTGAGATCGGTCGAAATCGGCGGTGATCGCGCTACCAAGCAAACGCGAGGAGCGTGGCCGTCGGCGCGGACGTTACGCTCGCATTTCCCACTGTCAATTAAAGTAAAACGCCTAATGTCCGTCCGGGGTTTAGCCATGATATTCGCGCGGCTGAAATCGGCAATGGAGAAACTCCCGTCCATGGAGACGGTGAAGAATAGACCGCGAAGAGAGCGAGGAAACATACACGAAAGGAGAGAGAGAGGCATGACGCACCCCTATTTATTGTGGCAATCATCGCGCCAATTGGAGCGATATGTTCAAGAGATAAAAGAAGGAGAGAGAAATTTGGAGAGACTTTAATTAAATCGGTATTAACAGAATAAAAATCAGAAAAACAAAGATACTGCGTAAAAGGAATTTTTGTGGTGTGTGAAGAAACAAATTTAATTCAGGGAAGCGAAATATAACGGAAAATTTATGGTTGTGGTAGCCATCACTTCAACCGAAACGAGATACATTCGTAAGAGAGAAAGAGAAAGAACGAGTACGAGAGAGAGAAAGAGAGAGAGAGAGAGAGAGAAAGAGAGAAAGAGAGAAAGACGAGGTCGGTAGTTGCGTGTACACACTTCCACACGCGTGGCGTATTAGCACTCGCTCTATTCTCTAATTAAGGTACAACTAGTTTCGATTTCATACCTCGGACCAGACCGGCCGTTATTCACGTAACCAGCGGTACTATCGTGCGTTATACCGTTCGCGCGAGAATATACAGCGCGAGACAAAAGTACGTTAAAGCTACACAGGAGAGAGGCCTATTATTATCCATTAATTAACAACAATTTAATTATCTTGTCGCAATTAATTAAAATTCCCCACATGAAATAGCTATGTCTGAAACAAAGTGTTGCTATTCTCACGCGGATTCATATTAACGTGTCGTTAAAATTCATACTTATTGTCTCGGAAACTTTTACGTTTGCTTAATCGTTGCGCGCATTTGTTATACGTGATCGAGAATCGGATATCAATCCGCGCGTTAATTCGACTCGTTATTGTTCAAACAAGCGTGCGAGAGAAAAGGACCTTCAAGTACCTCTTTCAGTTCGCAAGATTGTACGAATTTTGAGAATCTCAGCCGCGCGAGATCCTCTCGCGCGCGCTAACCGTTTGCGGAAGAACGTGACACGCCAATCCGAGCGGCCTGTCCGCGATTGCTCGCACACTTTTGAATGACGTTGTATAAAGACGGCGAAACGGCACGGCACGCAGAGAGTGCGTGTGCAGCGCACGTAAAATTGCGTACCGCGCCGTGCACGGTGCGCGTACTTTTGAAAGCGCGACCGCCCGCGGAGTTTTCACCACGAATTCTTTCGTCCACGCGCGAATTCGCGCTTAAAATCGAAAGTTTTTTTCTTTTATCTTTCATTGGTGAGCCCATAAGAAGCCTGTCGGCGAGGCGAAGATGTTCCCTTTTCTTCTTGCGCGTCCACAATATTGCCGTCGCGTGCAGACACACATACTCGCACATTCTTACACACACGCGTCGCGAACAATTAGCCACGTGTAATTGAGCGGCCCGAACGTTCGAGCGTTGCGCGGAGGATACCTGGCGCGGGCGAAAGCTGTGGGCCCGATTTCTGAATATAACATCTTGACATGATTTCTGGTGAAATTTATTAGCGCGAGGAAAATCCCGCCGCGGTCTAGAATGCCCAGGTTGTTACATTACGTTGCATTATAAGCAACGCGCACCGTCTCGCAACAGAGCTCGCGGGAATACCGTTTTCTATATACTCAACCATGCGGCAATGACCACATTCAATTAGTGACGATCGCGCTTGGGCAACGGCTTATTATTAAACGTCTCCGCGTAATCGATCCTCGTAAAGATATTATCCTGTGCGCCACATTACTACAATGTCTTCATAACACTCCGCTACAGCGAGGAAGTCCGTCAAGTTTCACAATAGCTCCACGGCTGGTCCCAGACGCGTTGAGGTGAATCAATTGTCCCGGCACGTAGCGCGATGGACTGGGAGGAAGATCTCGTTTAAATTAAGCGGCGATGCGCACGAAAACCATCGCGCCCGCGTCGCCGGCGAGACAATTGCACCCACCTGAATGCAGCCCGCTACTCATGAAAGCTCACAAGAGCCACACCCTGATAATTATGTTGATTATAGACTACAATATTTTGCACTCTTCTGCATATTACACACTACACTGCAAACTTTAGAAATATACCTATTTCCATTAATGATAATCGTATCTGACATATCAGAGCCGACCATAGTTATTAAAGTGTTTATTATAATACGTTAAACCTTCGATACGTATAGAAGATATAAATGCAGTTTACAAACTTCTCTTCCTCTCTTCAGTTTACTATTAGATAAATATAATTTGTTAGAATCAAATCGACAAAACTCATCACATTTACGGTATTGTTATGACATTAATTAAAGCTATAGCGGGAAAATCAACGGTTTTACTTGCAGCCATTTCATGTTCCATTGTTACATCTATCCCACAGATCATCTCCATCAGACCCAGTCTCCTGAGGAACTTCTGCACGCCGCAAAACTTGGCGACGTGGCTGCCGCTGGTGAAGGACACGCTGCTTCCGGTCTTCCTGGCACTCTTCGACAAGATGTTCTGTCGATACGTGGCCAAAGTGTATACGAAGCAGAATCACGCGAGGCGACTGTCGCACGGTGCGTTTTTCTTTTTTTCTCTTTCTCTCTCATTTTTTCTTTCCCGTGGCCGAAGTAGATTTCACGATACCCCCCGCGCGTGTTTCGTAACGCAACGACGCTACGTGATTTCCATTCTTTCGTTAAGAAAACATACTGACCCGTTCGCCGTGCGTGGGAAAGTAAGACGCCCGCGGCCGCGTAATAATCGTGATTTCTGCCCGCGCAGCAACGGCGATATCCCGCGCGACAACCGGCAATTTTTCTCGCTAACGACGCGCGCACTTACGGGCGATTTACTCGGCCGTGTTTTCATTTTGCAACCACGTGCGCAGGCATTTGCACTGTGGTTTCTTCGTGCTCGGCACGAAGGCTTCTCTTTTTCTCCCTGTTGAACCCCGAATTCTCGAAATTCGTCGCTCCTGCCGCCGTTTTCGCTCCGTTCACGTTTCCCAATGCTCGGTCTGTATTGCCGCGATACCGTAAGGATTCGTCGGCGAACTCGTCGCCATTTTTCGCAGGAATAGTTTCCCGGAGGTACACCGCAGACTTATGTCGCGACTTCTTTTCGCCAGGAGAAACATTGTGCTGAATAATTCATCGAATCGCCGTCTCGCTCTGTCGTCACGAACGACAATTCGGCACGTTTGTAGGCCACGTACGCGTATACTCGAAAACAGAAAAAAGAATATACGTTCTAAAATTTCTGACGTTTTTGTTCCAGGTGGCATAGACGGTAAATTTCGACACTTCGAGCAGGACACCGAGTACAAGCTTCAGTTGAACCTGAATCACGGGCTCAAGTTCCCCCTAACTAACGGAAGCCTCTACGGACGGTTGCACAGCCATCAGAACAGAGGTAAGCGGATGTCAGCGGGATTTAACGACGCGAAAATGTTTCGATCGGCCAGTTCTCGTTATTCTCTCTTTCTCTCGGCTCACATTATTGTTAATTGCGACGTTTCGTGCGACTTCGTTAATACACTCGCCATGGTGCAGCCACGTTAGAAAGTCCGAGGCGAAACCATCTCTCGCTCGTAATCGTCTCTATTCCACCACCACGATATCGCAGATATCTCTAGTATTACAGGTCACTGTAACGTGAAAAGTCGAATGTTTCGATATTCCCGAAAGCGCGGCGCTTTCGCGAACGAAGCGACTATCGCTTCCTTTCTATTACCTTGACGAACCTCTAGCTGGAGTCCGGCCGACGCTAATTAAAGGATCGTGATCGCCGTCGTCGTTCGCTTAAATGTCGATAAACGATCTTATAACGCGTGGAGCCCACACGAAAGCAAGATGATGTATCGACGAGTTGCAATGATAGACGTGACGATCGTTTCTCGATAATCACCCACTAAAAAGGACGCGACAATTCAACCGCATTTTAATCGTAGACATCTCTCGATAAGAAAATAAAATAAAATCATTATCTATACATCTGTCTACACATAACATCTTCTATAATTGGCTTTCTTCTTTGTAACGTTCTTAGATCTATATTAACAGTCTTTATTTGAAACTCCTTTCAAGTGATACTCGGATCTGAATTCAGAATCAGATGAAAATTTTCCAGTTGAAGTACAATTGCAGATATAATCTCACATATAATATATCACATAATTCAATGGAAAAATTTGGAACTATAATCTGAGTGTCTCACATAAGACGAGTTTCAAGTGACAACTATTAACATGGTCTTTGAAAGGCTTTGCTTCATTCTCAACATACATATTGATCTATGATCGCCCTTTCTGTTCGTAGTCAAAACCAGCACGATCACGATGGGAATCCAGCAGCATTATCCGAGAGCGCAACCGGTCAACGAGGACGGCAATTACGCATCTCTGCCGGCCGAACTGTCGTCCTTCACGAGCTCCACCTTCGAGCCGCGTCAGGACAGGATCGTCGAGCAGCCGCCGAAGAAGAATTCCATGGAACAGCACAACAGCAGACGACCAAGACCGAACGAGAATCTGCTCGAGCTCGCCGGCAACCGCAGGAAGATCGGCAGCACCGACGTCTTCGGGCAGAACATGGAGAATCTGGTGCAACTCGAAGACCCGGCCAGCAATCGGAAGTCCTTTGCCAAGAGTCTCGATGAGATTCGCGAGGAACCGTCCAAACGGCACGCCAGGAGTGTCCTCGGCCTGGAGAACCTGATCGTGGGACTGGAGAGCAGCCTGCACGCGCAGCATTATCCTAGAATTGCCCTTCGCAGAAATCAAAGCTTCGATCACGCCAGGTACCACTTAAGCGGCCTTTTGCCGCCGGTCGCACTTGCGTTTTAGCGTACCTTCACTTTTGCTCGTGCCATTAAACCGTCGTCACGATACACACGCTGTAAAGTGTGCAACTGGAAAGTGAGACGCGAAGTTTCTTATAAATTATTCAAAATGCACGTTTCGAGGTGCATCATGCCGTGCACGGGGTGTCCTACATTCCACGTGCATGCCTTTCATCTGCTCTAACGTAAGCTTCTTGATAGCTCGCATTAACTCTAACGCGCGCTCTTTAATCGTATCTGTTAATGTAACTCGAAGAAATTCGAATTTCATTTCAAGCGCATTTCAGATACGACATATACGTGTGTGAAAACAAATATTTAACGAAAAAAAAATATATATATATATTAAGTGAAGAAAAATATGTATAATGAATATAATATATACATTCTATATTTTCTCCATACAATCACATAAATATATTAAAAATGCCAAAAGCGTAAAAAATATCGCAACGATGGATCGATAACAACATTGCATTTTCAGATATCATCGACCTATGCTCGATACGAGGACCTACAACTTGAAGAAAGACAATCATACGCGGGAGCAACAGAACCTCCATCAACGGCAAGACAGTCAGGGCCACTGCGACGGATACGACAGCTCCGACGACGAGAGTTGCGACCTGGAGAACGGCGACTTTGACACTATGAGCTCCTGCAGAAGCAGGAGCAGGAGCTGCTGCTCCGTCACCACGGTCGCCAATGACGATTTCGAATATTTCCAACGTAAGGGAACCAAGGTAATCTCATACGACTGAGTTACGCGAACTCCGCGAGTTCTCGAACTGAATTCGCTGTTCTTCGAAATTCATGCGAGATCCTGTATCGCGCTTAATCAATCGAGTTTGGTTCCATCGCATCGATCTTTGGTCTTTTTGCCGGATTAATTAAATACAACTCGTCTGTGAACTTTTACTGACAACGATCAGCGCAATAAACAACTACTGATCGATAACCGGTCAGTCAGAGCGACTGGTTTGGTCTGGTTCGCTGTTTCTGACGTTAAACGCGAGAAGGATGCGAGAGGCGAACCGCAGGCACTTTCACGACGCGAGAAAATGCATCCCCGGCGTGAAAGAAGTGCTCGCCCCGTCGACGGAGCGTTTCATCGGCCTTTTCGCGGCGATGAAGGCGCGCGCCTTACGTAATCTCCCGTACATCGTGAGAACGTCCTGTTTTGCAGGTGGAGCTGCTGCCCTCCAAGAGAGCCGGCGAGGTAAAGGTCAGCATGCGATCTTTCACGCCGCGTATCATAGAGAACGGCACGGGCGAGCGGGAGGACAAGAAGTGCAGCAGCACCGGCAAGCCGGCCGACACGAAGCCCAGCATACAGTCCTATCACCTGAAGAGCAAGAGGATCGGGCCCGGTTACTCGATGAACGACTTGGACAAGCTTACCATTGACAGGAAACTGCCGAACCTCTCGATAGAGAGCCTGAAGAGCATCCTGAAGAACTCTGACGTGAGCTATCTCGACAACGGCGACATATGCAAGCATGACATTGGCGGCTCGGCGCCGGACTTTAAGAAGATCTTCGTCACGGAGTTCATATGAGCCCGCCGAGAGGCCGGAACGCGACGTAGAGTGTTCATAAAGGCGAAAGACCGTATCCTTCGTCCTTGTGATATAGCGACGACATACTCGTAGACGTAGCAAGTTCGCTTCTCGTTCTATCGACCGGCGCGATACACTTATCAGGCATGGAGAGTAGCCGGCGCGTACTCTCGACGCGTCCTGCGGAAGCTTCTGTTCGCGGTAGAGGTCCGAGAAACTTGTAAATTAGAGGATTCATGTGCACGACGATCGACGAGATCGTTGGTAGAAAGGAGGATTGAATATTGAGTAGCTTGCGCTCACTGCGCGCATGTCTTCCAGACTGTTTTCATTTTTGTATCATGAAACCTAAACTCGTTTATATGTGTGTGAGCATCTTTCTTTTTTTTTATAAATATATTTCTTAAAGCGTCGCATCTCCGGACTTGTCGTTTATTCGCAAGCTGCGGTCGATGGAGTCGCGGGTGGCGTTCTCACGGGCGCGGCGCGCCTGTTTTGTAAAAATTCTGTAAGATACTTTGCGACACACCTAGCGAATTTGTTCCCGACCGCGAACGCGATTCCACACAGCAGCGCGCGTTATTTGTACATATTTTGTATATTTGTACTACTGCAATATTTAATATAGCGAGAGAGATTATGTGTACATGTATATACAATTACGCGTGACTCCACAACATGTTCGTTTCATTGTCGTGGAAACGACGAGCGAATTGTATAAATTAATTGCAAATATATTTTACTTCTGGGTTGACGCGCGAGGAGAAACTCTCACAACCGCCTCCCCTCGTCGAGCTCGATCGACTGACCTGTGCACGGAGGATCGATTGCATCCATCATCGGAAGCAGAGCAGTCTCACTTTTCGAATGCAATTTGTTCGACGTCGCTACGACTTTTCTACGCGGAGTTATCGAGCTGAATTCTTTGATCTACGACCAGCAGCTGCTACAAAGTTGCGTGCCGTCGCTCGGAGGTGTTAAGCCTGATCTACAATGTGTTCTTTACTTCCTGTTTCTTATTTTCTGTCTTTTTTTAATTTAAAGTTTAAGGCTTGAGTTAGAAAGAGATAAAGAAAAAGTAACAGGAAGCAAATAACACATTATAGATCAAACTTTAGAGTCGTTCTACATTATTACAATTGCAAGTCTCAAGGTCGCAAAAAAATTGACCAGTCACAGTTCTTCTTTGGTCGTAAGAAGCACAATTGCTTGTGATTGATAAATTTTCTTATGATCTTGCGATTCGCAACTAATGTAGAACCGGCCTTAGGCCTGTGGCGCGGTCGCGCTATACGTTTACGCGTGTAACGCCTTCAAAGGACGCACGCCGCCGATAAAACTCCAAAATCTTCGAATGTCCAGGAGAAGAGATAACATTAGGAACATGCGGTAAACGCTATTCTCCCCGAAATCTCGTACGCTATACGTTTCTGTTGACCACGTGCTCTGACACGCGTTCATTAGAGATGTGCGAATCAAAGATTTTTATGTCGAATCGAATCGAATCTCAGATTTTAATTTCGAATTCAAATCGAATCGAATCGATGAAATTTCACCCGAATCGAATGAAATCGAATCAAATCGTTAAAAGAATCTTTAATTAACATAATCATTGAATTCAACATGAAAATACTGACTTCAGTATGAGAGAGATAACATTGATTATGTGATATCAATTTATTTTAAGGTAAGAGATATATAATATATAGTCGATACTATATATATAATATATAGTCGGTAAATGTGTATGGAATACAGTTCCAGCCTTGAAAGCTGCGCTACGACACATATCGATCCGACAGTTGAAGAGTTTATCTAAAAGCCATTATCTTCTTTTAATATTTTTGAAGAAAATCTTAAGGTATGAAAATGTAAACTTTTCAAGTCATGCTAATTCCCAAACCCTAAGGTTGGATGTCTTTAATAGTTAATAACTTCGTTAATGCTAATGTGTGCGATTCGTATTCGAAACTTTTCGATTCGAAATTTTCGGATTCGAATTATTCGGATTATTCGAATTCTGATTCGAATTATTCGGATTCGAATCATAGGGATTCGAAATTGAATAGAATTTCACTCGATTCGATTCGATTCGAATAGTTCGCACATCTTTAATGTGAATGATTATGACACACGGTATATGTAGTACATATAGCATACCTGACAATTAATGACACACTTGTGTGTAGGTAGAACTTATCGAGCTGAACATAAAGTGTCTCTATTATTTCGCGAACAACCACATAAAATGTTGAGTTATTCATTAAAGGAGGCGAATCATCGCACATAATCATACCCATCAATCTTCTTCAATTAATAACTAAAAGTCTACATGATCGTTTACAAAATAGAGGACTTTTTTGTTCAGTTTGACCTACAAGCACACGACGGCCATCATTTACCGTATCGCGCGTGATCATTCACCAATCTTCTCTAATTTATAACTTAAAATTTTATGTTAAGTTTGATGAATTCTACCTGTACACCGCGGGTGTATCATTCATTGTTTATATCATCCGGATATATACAAATATAAAATTAGAAACAGTCGGAAATTTTAATCGTATAAGATATAAAGTTTCGCGCAAAATCTTTTAATCTAAAATTATTGAGAAGAATAAGAAAGACACGTTAGGATTCAAATAAATATAATGCACTTTATTGAGTAGTTTCTTACAGTTCGTTGCTTATTTCTAGAGCCTGGAATACCGCTGAGCTGTCTCTCAATCGTTCGACAATGATCTCCGCGCGAAATCAATGCGACAATCGCTTTATGTTCGAAAAAAAAAAAAGGAAAAGAATAATATAGTCGCTCTTGGCTCTTCGCCGTGCGTCTCTCATTTCCTTCGTCGTGTTATAATACGCAGTGAGTATTGCTCGCTGGCAAGATATTTAGCATAGCCGATGTCGCATGAGCTCATGCGGTAGATTACAGGCACGCCCGCCATCGTCTATCGCGTGATAGACGCCGTAATCGCCGGCGGCCGGCGTTGTCGTAATTGTCTAATTAAACGATCTATCCTACTCGGTCGCGATTTATTATGCACACGTTGACTAGTAATACACCGTTTGGCATCGTTAATCCTTATCTCTACTGTAATTGCATTCGTCGGCCAGTGGCGTAGAAGCGCGACAGTGACAATTCACATTATCGAATCCCCGCATACAATAACTACTTTTTGGGACATACAATGCAATCTGTCAGACCCGGGCGACTTTGAATCGCTCTACGACTCTGTCGAAAACCAATAGTTTTGGACACATTTCTCCCCAGAGGTCTACAGAAAAGCCTCAGTTATGAGGTAGTGGCGCAACGGAATCACAATCTGCAAACAGATTTGCACTCTTTGGACATTTTTCCGGGCCTTTTGCGAAAGCTGCTGAGCGATCGAGTATTCGTTCCGGTCTCGCTGGCCCAACATTGTCCGCGGAGAATTAATCCGAGTATTTATACTCGCCGATGTCTCGCCGATGAGCCGCGTGATTCGGACGATGAACGCCGGCGGAATTCCTTTCCTTTATCGCTCTCCTGATTATTCGACGGTCGACGTAGCGTTTTGTTTCGAGGACGCGTTATTCGTTACTTTATGAGTCGCTCCGTTGAACAGCCGGCAGAGATACGCTTCCGTGGTGCTTCCCTTCGCAACGTCTATGCAGTCGCTTCTGTTACGTAATTCAATTTCGTTTTCGCACGGAGGCATAACGCGCGCGGTTTGCTAACGTAATTTGGACTCCGTCGTTAATCGGAACGCGTAACTCGCGTTCCTCGCGGGAGAGCTTGGCGCGAATCGGCATTTCCGAGTTCTTTCCTCCTCCAAGGACGAGCGTCGCGCGCAACGATACTCGCTTTGCGTATAAAAGCCTATAAAAGCATTCGTCTCTCCCGGAACCAGTAAACTCTCCTCGCGTATCTAAAAATAGTGCGCTCGACGTCGAACTATAATACACAGCCACGTTGTTCGCATTCTACACGCTGTCCCGCGTTCTCTCCGCGATATCGCGGCGCAGAAGGTTTCTCCATTATGTCGAAAAGTATTCGCGTTCCCAGCTAGACGCGTATCATCGACCACGTGTCCATTCGTGAGGACGAACAATCAGAAATCTTGATTGTCTAATTAATAAATGCAACTAATTTCCAAGCGATAATTAATTTCGTAATAATCGCGAATAATTGTCTTGTGAATAATCTTGTGAATCACCCGATCTTGTGTTCGATCAGCCGATGAGAAACTAACAAACACATATTTTCGATCAAAATATCAACCAATTTTTATAGCCGATCAGGAAACATCCGATGAGAAATATCGGTTCGTAATTTTTTCATCGGATTATCTGATGAAATGCCATTGTAATCGGAAGAATTCAATTATAAATTTAATCGGATTTAAATAAAAACTGATCGTAATTCGATCGGAAATATTCATTTGTTAATGTTTTATCGGATAATTCCTCTGTGTGAAACAATTATCACCGCCTTACAGATCCATGAGACAACGATTTCTCGCGATCAATTTCCGATTCGCTGATCAACAACAGATCCAATCAACAGATAATTGATATAAATCGAATAAATAATTGTTATCCTCCGTTGAATTTAATGACTATTGACCGTTCGTGGAGGTCCACGAGATAACGGTCTCTCCCTGTTATTATTTCGCTCAGTGAAGGATCAATTCCGCCCATCGTTATTCTTATCGCTCTCGTGCGCGTCGAACAAATGTCGCGAACTCGCATTCGTGGACTCACACTCGAAGGAGGACTCGCGATTTCTACGCCATTGTGCGAGCCTGCGACTCATATACTCTGGCACTTTGGTATGAGAATCGCGCGGAGGGATGTCCAGCCGCGATCCTATCCGATCGATTGATCGCACGGCGATCAATGACTGGCGTAAACGAGATCGCTGCCGCGGAAGATCGCCTCTATCAGGAACTTCCGGTTGAGCTCGCCGCTGCCCCGGGACTCCATCATGCTGGCCAGTCGCTGGTATCGTTTCCAGGCGGTCACCGACGCCGCTTCCTTTTCCGGCCAGTCCTTAATCTTGTCGCATGCGTCGCCGCCGTTGACCGCAACCTCGGAAGCCTGGCACACCGCTTCGGTATCCGGTATCATCTGCGAATGCGCGATCAGTTCATTCGATTGTCGTACTCCGGGAGGACTGTCGTCGATGATCGACGCTTGTGGGAAATTTCCGCGCGTGGTTTTGCAATAGTTCCGAGAAATCTCCGTAGGCGATCCCAGGTTTTTCGTTATTCTTTGTTTTCTTAATTATTACGTGATCATATACGCGGAAACTATCAATAAGATATCACAAAATAACATCATACAACGCAAATTCTTACAATTTCTTACAAATTTCCTCTTTTCTTTTCTTCTCTTTTATCGTTACTCTTATCCTCTCTTCTCAGTGTCAAATGGATTATCTTGTTTATAAATAAATGAATAAACAACGCAATAAATAACTAAATTTTAATGTGGATAGCAGTCACGAGACGTTAGAAATATTGATATTACTATGAAACAAGATAAGAAAAGTGCTAAATATCCGTTGTTAGTAAAGTTGATTATTCCGCGAGATTTTTGGATTTGTTAATGAAATATTTTCGCGCGCAATCGTCTTTCAACAGCTCCTTTCGATATCGCCGCGCAATCAGAAGGGAGGAATCACGGAGGGTTTACGAATAAACGTGACCGATGTTTGCAGGACGCGCCGTAGACACGTGTAACGCTACCCTAAACCCCGTGTCTGAAATCAATACTCGAACGGCATTACACTGTTACTAAGGATTCCCAACCCCATTGCCAGATTTTGCGTCAGCCCTCTGCGCCACTTTAACCGCGGAGTTCAACGACCAACGCAACCAACCAGTGCCAATCGCCGTGATGTCGTGATATCGCGATCATTATCCTTCGTCATTGCCGCGCGTTATCGCTCGTGAGGCAAACAAACGCTTTTTGCGATAAGGACCATTTAATACTGTTTGATTGCCGCTTATCAACGCGCCCATTAATTAGCCCGCGGCGTGTAATTACCTGACAACGATGGTTTCTACTTGCTAACAGAATATGTCTAACGAACCAACGAGTCAATAATAATTAATCGCTCACATTTGCTTCATTTATTAAACATACACGAAGCTCGATAATTCATATTCGCTTCACACGATAGCTTCGCAGTCGTGTGGCAACGAGCAGATCGCCTCATGCGTCTCACGATCCCGCGTTGAACCTACCCTAATATCACGATCAATCCATAAATCAGAGAGAGTAAAGTAGAAGGAGAGAAGAGGAAGAGAGAGAGAGAGAGAGAGAGAGAGAGAGAGAGAGAGAGAGAGAGAAAGAAAGTAGGAATTCCATTCCGTTATCCTCGCAAACCCGTTATCTAATTATCGTTCCGTTAGTTAATTAACAGAGGGTCAAATAGCGTCGCGTGCCTCGACTTCGGGCTCTTCAATCGCTGCTCACCTTCTCTTCACGCACGGTCCTCGCGCGACCCCGTCGTCCTTGGAATCAAGGTCGTCGTCGTCGTCGTCGTCGTCGTCGTCGTACCTGGCGAATTCGACCCCTCCGCGAGATCCTCCGAGTCGACGCCGAGGGGAAATTTGTCCAGCGACGTGCGACTGGATTCGGGCGAGCGCGCGGTCCAAGAGTAACTGAGGAAGCGCGACGACCAACGCGTCGACCATCAGCTGGGTTCCCGCGATGACTTTCCCCCCTCTGGTGGTGCTCCGAACCCACATGTGGCGACCATATGGGAGGAGGGGGCTCGGGAAGGGGGTGTCGCTACCGGTCGACTGGGCAACAACGAAGGCGACAAAGGTTCACCTCTTTCTTTCCCACCCTAGTCGCGAATAGACCCTCCCGCCTCCTCTTTGGGGGCAGAGAAAAGAACGTGTTTCTGGCTCACTCACTCTCTCTCTCTCTCTCTCTCTCTCTCTCTCTCTCTCTCTCTCTCTC